GACATGTTTGAAGTTTTGGGTATTAAGTCTAAGGCTACTATTCTGAATTACTATTTCCCTAGCCGGTGCCCGATCTGGCCTAAAAAACATATAGCAGCGAATTTAAATGGATTTATTTTTAGACCCTCTTTGAAAGGATATTGATTAATATATCCGAACTGATATTTACCATATTAGCGAAAGTTTTTCCTTCATTGTGTGTCGTAAGCACATCTATGTATATCGCATGCTCGATGCCATCTATATCAATATTGTTATTATCTATATTAAAGATGAAGATATATGTAGAAGCCCAAACGTTTCATCATCAACAAGCACCTACTGGCGCCTATTAAATGTTCCCGACAAACCATCTTTTCCACAAAATCCAAATTAGATAAGAGAATTATTAGAAATTAAACAGGTATGGTGTGGTAAGAACAAATGGAAAAGCCAGAAGAATTATTTTTTAATGTTGCTTCAAAAAATGTTCGGCCAATTTCAGGGTAAATTGAATATTAAAAAATAACGTTGGTTCGGTTTATAAATGGTGTCCAAAATACATCCATCAGTGGCCCTGTAAAAGAGTTCCCTAAAAAACGTTTTTTTTTTATTATTTCCGGTACAACTGACTGACAAATACAAGTTCAAAATATTTAGCAGCATAATTCATAATTGAGATCATTTTCTTTCCAGCACAAAAATTTGTTAAAACAATCATGCGAAAAAAATAACTCCAAAAAAATATATATCCCCCTAAAAAAAGTTGGGAAGCGAAATAAACGGCACCTATTATACTATATATTAGCTTTCATTTAGGTATCCTAAATCGATTCAGGAAGAATAAAAAAAACGATGTTTTTAGGATCTTTTTACATTTATCCGTTTGTACTGTATTCAGTAACAAGAATACAACGAAAGGAAATTGAAATTAGGAAAACACAGCTATTACGAAAATTGGTAACTAATCAAGATTTTTTTCATATTTGGTCTACTATTTTAATAGTTTATTTATTATATTATACAATTATACAATACGTTTATCTCCATCGACAATAATATGTATTGGAAAAGTTATTCTTAATACAAAGCAAAAAAAAATTGTAAATAATTTTCTACACGTTGGGTTTTTAAATTTACTTTGAAAATGTTTGTGTTATTATGACAAAGTAATGGCATTACATTTCAAAGAGAGCGAAACAACAAACACAGACAATACAAGAATGGTACAGTTAAAATATTATTTGTTTTTATCTCTAGTACTACTATGAGTTTTTGAATTTCCAAGAAGAAAACTTACATCTTTTTTAGCAATAAAAGCATCTGTGGCGAAAGTTGACCACCCCCAGATCCACCCCATATTGAACTCTTGGATCAACATTCGCAAAAAAATATATTTTGTAGCTAAAAGGGATTTTTTCGTTGTCCAATTCAATTTAATTATTTACCATTTAATTACACTCTTTTATGCATGATGAATTAGCATATGTGATGGGCTTACATACAGAGAGTGACGATAGAACCAACTTTTTGATTTTATAAATGCAATAAATTCCAAAACCGAATCAAAGCTATCCGAAATCTTTGCGAAAGAGGGCAAAAAGAGCATTAGGAACCACAGTACCAAATTAATAAATAAGATAAAGAATATCGAACCCAGGATCGGACTAACAGGTACTCCTGTTGAAATATTTTACATATTTGAGATAAAATTTATTAAACATTATTTTTAAAGTTTAAATTTTGTTGCCAGTTTGTTAAAACATCAATAAATATGTTTTTATAAGTAAATTAAATATGAAATTAAAAGAAAGAAAATTATTAAAAATAATAAAGTTTAAGATTTTCTTTAAATAACTCTATTATGTAACTATACATTTTCTAAAAGCTTACTTTTTCATTTTGCAATTAAAGGCCATTTCCAGATAAACGTATTTTTCGATATATGTCTAGATCTGATATGTGATTGCGAATGTGTGTGTCTGTCGGAAACCGGGAACAAAGTGGCAATCCAGAAGCCGACGAAACCCCCCGGACCGCACACGGAAGGCAGGTAAACGATGGGGAACAGAAATTTACATGAGAAAGCGCCACGGCTTGTTGAAGTTCCCAGATTCGCCGGAAGACGCTTTCAACCGGCTACAAAAGAGTCCCTTTTTATAGTCAAACTAACCGAGAAACCCGGGAAAGCCCTCCCCCCGCCGACCGTAACATCACTTTTAAATATCGGACCCGAAAAACTTCCCCGATATTCGGATTTTACGACCGGACCCCGTCCTGTCAAAATAATAAAAATAAAAGGTCCGCCAGATCGCAAACAAATCCCTGAGGGCGAAATCACGGCCCCCGATGTCCTTCGCGACAACTTTTGTCCGCAGCGAATTGGGATTAATAAGTTTTCCGGGCGTGGAAACTAAATCCGGGGTTTTTATTATATCGGAAAAGTTTCTGCCCCTTTTTCGTCAGTTTTCGGACAACTTTCGACACGTATGCCCGGAATTTTCATATAACCTTTTTAGTGTGCCGCAGTCGGACAACTGTTGCCAACTATTTTCCGGGTACCGATCGCATTCTCCGACTTTTTCTCGCGGTATTTCAACTATGTCGGCTGAAACTGACGCATTTCGGTGCTTAATTCAGGAACGCACATGTTCGATATGGTTTCGGCATGAGTAGATATCTAAGGTGTGTTTCTTACCATGCCGGAGTAATATTTGTCGACCATTGTGAAAGTATCTGCGTCTCCCTCCTGTTAATGGATATTAATTAGTTTTCTTTGTTACTAAATAAATGCCAAGAAAAAAAAATACATGGTATTTGTTGATTACCCTACCGTATAAGTTAGAATATATTTGAGAAGTTGAAACCTAACAGCTCGCATCTTTCGACATTCACACTATTTTGTTTTATTATTTGTTATGTTCATTGTTCCATGTTCATTGTCTATAACATAGACATGAATTTTTGTTAACTAGTGTAAAAATTGTACTTTTGAGAAATAAAGTCTAACAGTCACTAACAACTAAAGAAAAAATCGAGTAGCCTGAGCCTATCTCTTATAAAGAAAAACCCCAAAAAACAACCATCGTCCATTAAGGGCAGAGATAAAATTTAATGGTCGCTTAAAGTAATCGCAAAATGCCATGGAAATGGCGGTTTACCTACATTTAGCATGCGAACTCGTAAAGCGTTTTATGGTGGGTTTGGTATCTACGATCTGTAAGCGATACACACACAGCGTCAACATCATTAAAATCGTCAAAGTACCTGTTTTCATAACGCGGCTAATTTTCCAGCAGTAGGTATCTCCGTCGCGTTTACCTAACAGCAAATTCAATTACGACTAATTGCTTTCAATTAATTATGTGAAACGAATAGGAAGATTGCCGCCGTGCTCAATCGGGAATATATCGAGTGGTGGCTGACAGAAAAGTTCAAGTTTTGAATCACGGTTGCCATGATTAATTTTAAGCATCGTTTAGGAAATAACAATAATAATAATAATAATAATAATAATGCATAGCGTTAAACCCACTCTCCTCCGCTCTCAATAATCGCAAACAAGGATATCCACTTAATAAAGAACTTAAGCTCTCCCACTTAATGTACATGGACGACCTCAAGATATTTTCGGACACCGAGAAGGGACTAAAACGGCAGCTCAGATGCATCGAGAACTTTTCAAATGATATTCGAATGAGTTTCGGTCTGGAGAAATGTAAAGTTAGCAGACTTCATAGAGGAGAGTGGCGTCAGATGGACGGCCATCAGCTTACACAACATAGTGGTGGTGGAAAAATAACGACGCTGGATAAATTTGAAACCTATGAATACCTAGGTCTTGCCCAGGCGCGAGGGATAGACTCTAAAAGTGTCAAGACGCTGCTCACGGAGAGATTTAAAGAGAGAGTCAAGCACATCTTAAAAACAAGATTGGCAGGCCGTAACATGGCGACTGCAATCAATTCCTACGCCGTCCCTGCAGTGGCGTACAGCTTCGGCATCGTCGACTGGACGCCGACAGAGCTTGATGATCTGAATAGAACCTTAAGGACAAATCTAACTAAATTCCGCGCTCACCACCCACGAGCTTGCAGAGAGAGGGTACATCTACCTCGAAACATCGGAGGCAGGGGTTTCTCGGATCTGCGAATATGCCACAAAACCCAGGTGGAGCGGCTGCAGAAATACTTCCATCAAAAAAGCGAGAGCTCAGCGCTCCACCGAGCAGTGACAGGTCTAGATAGATCACTTACACCCTTCATGTTGCAGGCCACACACTATCAGTGCGACCCTAAGTATTCAATTTTCGAGCTTGAGACCCAGTGGCGGGGAAAGGAACTGCACGGCAGATACCCAAACTTGCTTGACAGTGCTGACCTTGACAAGCCCGCATCAGTTGGCTGGCTAACGAGCGGCAACCTGTTCCCCGAGACTGAGGGTTTCATGTGTGCAATTCAGGATCAGGTCATACCCACTCGGTCTTATCTTAAACACATAATCAAGGACCCGACAGTAACAACAACGAACTGTCGCATATGTGGAGAGGGCCATGAGAATGTTGAGCACCTCATCAGTGATTGTCGGATGCTGGCCCCGAAGGAGTACACCACAAGACACGACAACGTAGCCAAGATAGTCCATCAGGAAATAGCCTTCAACCTTAAACTTCTAAAAGAGAAGTGTCCTTACTACCGATACTCACCAGAGTCCGTGCTTGAAAATGAGGGATTTAGGATGTATTGGGACAGGACTGTTCAGACCGATCGCACTGTCCAGCATAACAGGCCAGATATTCTTATTTATGACAAGGCAAATAAAATGGTGACCCTCGTCGACGTTGCAATTCCCGCACCTAACAACTTGCAGAAGAAAGAACGTGAAAAAAGAGAAAAATACATACCGTTAGCGGATGACATAAAACAGACATGGCGTGTCGATAGGGTTAACATTGTTCCTATAGTGCTCGGTGCAATGGGAGAAATACCAAAGTCCCTCAGAACCAACCTGACAACACTCACCGTAAAACCAGGCGCCTACTTTGAAATGCAGAAGTCTGTGGTACTAGCTACCTGCAACATAATTAGAAGAGTTCTTAATCAACCTCAACTTCAATAGCGCACATTTCATGTTTTGCTACTCACCTAGCCGACATGAGAGGACTCCATCTTCCGATGAGAAAAAAAAAAATAATAATAATAATAATAATAATACATTTATTCTGCAAATTACTATTTACAATACAATAAAATACCAGTAAACCTCATAAATTGGAAGAAAGAAGATGAAAGCAATTAAAATTGTTCCAAGTTCAACCCAACGTGTATATAAAAATTAAAAATTGGATAGAAAATTTTAGGACTGAACTTACTCGAAAATCACTTACAATTTACTTGTTGGCTGAACATTTTTTGAGTTATCTTTTTTTTTAAGTTTAATGGTGATAAGGCTTTTAAAGAGAGAGGAACGGTATTGTAAAGTTTGTAAACGTTATAGGAGAAGATTCTTTAAAAAAGAGACGTCCTGTGTGGTGGTGGAGAGATAAGACCCCTAAATCTGTGAACATCTGTACGATATGTTATTTTAATGGCCAAGTAAGGAGGAGTGTTATTAAAAATAATGTTGTGAAAAAATACCAAAGAGTGTAGTCTACGCCTATTCTGCATATTCAACCACTTAGCACCCTGTAGTTTGTGTGAGACTGGACCATATTTTCTTATACCATAAATTAACCGCAAACAGTTTTTTTGTACTCTCTCAATTCTATATGTATCAGTTTTATCTAGGCATGGGCCACATAAAATGTCAGTTAAAGTAACTAGATAACACTAGAGAATCCGTTAACTTAATCTTTTGAGCCTCAGACAAAAAATGGCGATGCGGATAAAGCAACTTTAAGGAGACGTATCCCTTTTGTAAATAATAGCCAACTTACTCTTTAAAGCGAAAATCTATGTTAATTCTTAGGCCAAGATTTTTTGCACAATTTGTAAACTGCAAAACTCTACCACTCACTTTTATGTTAAGTTCAGACAATTAACGATCCCTATTCTTTCCAAAGAGCATAACAAATGATTTACTTGGATTAATTATCAATCCACGACGTGCTGAAAAATCTATTAGTTTAGACCAATTGTTGAGTCGTATACCAAGTACTGGGGTTAAATGAATATAATACCTGGGTGTCATCAGCATAAAAATATGCAAATAGAAATGTTACCCTAATGTCTGCATATTAAGCTTACCTATAAAAATTTATAAATTATTTTAATTATTCTATTTATCAGGGGTCTAATTTTATTTGTATCTAACCCAAAGAAAGAGAAAAACAAAAAACAAAAATTTCCAATACTAGTAATAATAATCTGCAAATATCTACAAAGAATTTTTTCTAATGTATTGGTCCATCCAATAATTTAAGAAAAAGATTTATTTTAAAACCGTTTACGTTTAAATTCTTACTGCCTGTTGCTTAAGTAAGTAAGCTTTCCCTTAAATCATATGTTTTAATGTTCGCAACGATGGTTTATTTTACTAAAAAGATATGAAAGAGATTTTCTACTTATTATTTTTAAATACAGAGCTACTAAAAGAAGGAATAAATAGTTAGCCGCCCGAAGTGAGGCATTAATTCTGTCGAATTTTCTTATTCCAAAAATCAACGGCAGACACGAATTGTGAAGCTGCATACCTGTAACTTGAGATAACCGCAGAGATCCGCAAAACCCTTTTTTATCCGTTTTGCTTAGGCATTCTCAATTTTGGAAATTGAGAATTGGAAATATACTCTTAAAACCTCGAATCCTTTTCGATTAATATACCGAAGTTTCTATCGAATCACAAAATTAAATTTCTGCCGGTCATGCTTTCTGCTAAAAATAATTACTGCTGATTTGCAAGAGTGGTAAACTATGCTCAGTGTACAACTGCCTTTTTAAATAATAACTTATATTATATAATTTTTTGTTTGGTGTTTGCAGATTTGTAAATTAAATTGATCTTTATTGAATATTTCAAATGCGCTTTACGGGAAAAATGCGCGAGAAAGGATCGTCGAAGAAGAAGACAAAATGACCGTCATAAACGTTCGAGTTGTGTAGATTTAAAGCCCGAACGGGCCAGGTTCGGGGTGGGCGAGTATGTGTCGGAATTCGTTGCGACGGCAAAGTCTCATCGATAATTCATGAAGCCGTAATGGAAGAAGCAAAGTCCGGCGGGAAGGGGTCAAAGTGTCGCAGCCGCCGTTGGCTACTTTTTTCCGTTTTTCCGGATTTGCGGCGACGCGTAAGCAACAAGTTCCCGTTCAAGGCGTCGGTTTTAATAAAACACGGCGGCCAAAGTTCATTAAAAAACTTTCGGTCACGAACACTTACGTCGTGAAATTTGAATCCACCCGAATTTATGGAGAATTAATGATCGTCGCCTAGAGAAGCACTTGGAACGACGTAATTATCCATAAAAAGTTACACGGCAAGGAAAATGAAGCAAAGAGAGAGATAAATAATTCCTGAAGCATACAGGGGAGAGCAAGATATTGGACCCTACAGGGGCTCCTGAAGATGATATACACCAGGCGTCTGGGGAAATGTGGAAGCTTGCTGGCATCTAGATAGAACACTGAAAAAAATATACAAGAAGGACTGAGTCTCTAAAAGGCGCAGCTGGAAATAGTTTTTCTTATTAAAAAAATTAACCCACGGATTAATTATTAATGATTTTATAAAAATGGTTTATTAAAGTATACATTTTCTCGAATTAAATCTTCAAGCTATCGAAAAATATTTTATGTCTGCGTTTACCCTTCATTCCCCGCCAAAATTTGATACACCGTTGAACTCAGGCATCTAGGTGGTTCGAAAATAATAACATAAACTCCTTACTGTATTTTATGCAATATAATGTGAACAACGACCAGTAACTCAGTAAATTATATCCTACATTACGACACTCTCTTGGCCAAAAGAGCGGGAGCAAGGCTAGTTCTTGACAAACTGCAGAGATTGGCTTACCTCTGCATAACGGGAGCCATGAGAACGGCGCCCACGAGGGCCCTAGAGGCTCTGGTGGGGTTGCCCACTCTGGCGGATCGGGTGCAGATGGAAGCGGTCAGGACAGCTGTGAGGCTGGCGAGTTGCGGGCTCTGGAGGGAGGCAACCTTCAATCGGGGTCCGTACGACATTTTAGATTGCTGTCGCGGGGATCGCGGGGTCATGGGCATACCGAGTGACGTCATGATCCCCGAGATGACCTTCTTTGACAAATTGACCTTTCTCTTCGCATCAAGGGAAGAGTGGAGAGAGGGCAGAGTCGGCTCCTGGGATGGACTTGTCTGGTACACGGACGGGTCCAGAATGGGAGATCTGGCCGGAGCTGGAGCGTACTGCGAGACAACGGGATCGAGCTTGTCGGTCCCTCTGAGTCAGTACTGCACTAGGTTCAGGCGGAAATTTTTGCGGAAACAGGAGTCTTCTTCTGCTCGGATAGTGCTGCACTTATGGCGCTGAAGTCAGTGCGTACGCGCTCCTTGTTGATAAAGGAGTGCAAAGGGGTACTGAGGAGGGTGGCTGAGAAGAGGAAGGTCACGTTGGTCTGGGTCCCGGGTCACACCGGGGCAATGAGGCAGCGGACGCCTTAGCCAGAGAGGGCTCCTCGCATAGGCATATAGGGCCAGAGCCCCGCTTGGGGATCGCCCCGTGTGTGAGGCGGGGAGCTCTCGAAGTCTGTGAGAGAGACCGAGCCGCGGGGGGGCTGGAGAGTTGCTCCGGGAATGAGGCAGGGCCCGCCCTCTTTCGGACCAGGGAGCTGCTTAGACTAATCAGAAGGGAGTGTAGAACACTAACAGGGGCCTACACAGGGCATTGCAGGCTTAGGAGGCATCTTTGCTTGCTAGGCATTGGAGACGACCCGAAGTGTAGGTGGTGCATGGAAGGGGAGCAGACCCCGTATCATCTGCTCACCGAGTGCCCTGCCTTGACATGGGCAAGATTGGGAGTCTTCGGAACGGCCCTGATCGATCCGGACTCAGTGCACGGTACTGGGCTAAAGGAGTTGCTTACCTTCTACAGGAGGGGCGGCATTCTGGACGCCCTCTAGAGCGGCCTGGGGGCACAACGGGCCCATCTGGTGGCCTAAGTGCTTGGACGCCCGCGAGGGCGCCCCCCTTTAATACCAATACCAATACGACACTCTCTCATCTAAGAAATAGTTTACATTTTTTTCTCACAAACTTAAAATTTAAGTATAAAAAACCCTCACGATATATTAACTTTAACCTTCAATTCACTAGATTATTTAGCTCTATACAGAATTCATTTTGGAATTACCTCGTTCTGTGTTACGACATTTTAACCCCCACAACACGAGCTAAAGGCCATTGTACATGTTTCTTAAAGTCATACTGATGAAGCACAACTTGGTTTAGCATAACTAACTTGATAAATAGGTTTGTCAGGCCCTGGAAATTGACAGCAGCGTCCACAAAGAGACCTGAAATCTATATAACCCAACAAGGCAGTATAAAGGCCTTAGAAGGCACTGAAGAAGACCTGAGTGGCGCAGGATCTTCTGGTTAAAAACCCTTACAAATTGTTTTCCCTCTCTACACCAGTAGCAGTCAGTAAAATGCGAAACGGATAGACGCACACAGAAGAAGAAGAAAATGGCAAGCTTGTTAAACAAAACCAATTTCCATGGGCGTCATGTTATTTTTTTGTGTTATACTAATTCCCAGAGATTCTCCAACATTTCTGCCGCATACAAACTAAACTTATTTCTGTAAAAAATTGTTCAAAACTTTCAGAAGCGTCGTATATTGGGCTTCATCGCCTTCGATGGGGCCAACGCGATTGTCGTACGTCCCGGCGTTGCGGTCTCACAATGGCGTGCTTTTGCGGCAGCAATGCCGACCTTATTCTATTATTCAGTTCTAAATATCGAGCGATTTTTGGCCTGGGGGGAGGCGCCCGTCGAAGTGATTGAAAACAAACCGCGACATAATAAATCGGGGTCTAAACCGCTACATACGCGGTGCCACGAATAGGTTCCGAACGCGTCGACTTGTTTGATTTCGGTT